TGCGTGCGTGCGTGCGTGCGTGGCTGAGAAAGAGGTTGCAGCTAGTAGAAATGGAGTGTGTGTGTATATGTATAATATAAATGTACCTACATGTTATATGTATCCATGTTTTATATATATATATAAAATATTATACAGAAACATATATATATATATATATATATATATATATATATATATATATATGTAGCTTCCTGTATATATTATAGGAGAGAAAGCGGAGAGATGGAGAGGGGAGGAACGGAGTGGGGGAGGGGGGTTGTTGTTGTTGTTTTGTTTTTGTTTTTGTAAGTGTTTTATGGCACTCGCAACAGCATAGGGTCATAATATGAGCGCGCAGGACACACTAATCATTTTCAGTCGGTAGGAAATTCAAAATTTTGCCATGGTGGCGGCTAAAGCCTACTCTTATCGAATTTGGACCACCATTTGATTTTTAACGTGCGCAACTTGCACACGGGCCCTCCGACATTTTTCGCCCTTGTCCCAGAAGGCTAGGTGTAGATCTTTCCTACCAGAAGATCTGGGGTATGGCTGAAAGACAGCTGTAAGAAGGAGCTAAGGAGTAACAGTAGAAAGGCTGCAGAAAGAGTCAGGAGCCTTGATGAGGGGGCAGAGGAGGTGAGGGGGGGGGAGAGAAAGAGGAGATGAAAGCAGACGACAGAACATTGCTAGAGAGGAGGAAAGGAGGTAAAAAGGGACAATTTTAGAGGGGAAAATTTTTTCGTCGCACCCCGGATTCGAACCCGGAACCTTTAAATGAGAGGCGAACACCTCAACCTCTAGGCCACGAGAGCCCCCCAGGGAACGTGTGTGAGAGAGTGTGAGCGAAAGACAGAGTCGGTATGTTTGTGAACATTTGTGGGTGTAGTGGGAGAGAAAGAGTGGAAGAAACAGACAAACAGTCAGAAACAAAAAACTGGATCTTTGTTTGGGGGAGGGAGAAGAACATTAGCCTTAACGTATCAAAAAATATCTACCTATTCTTACCCTTCTCTCCTTCACCTTCCTGCTTATCATTTTACACCTCCACCCCCCCCCCCCCCCCCCCCTCTCTCTCTCTCTCTCTCTCTCTCTCTCTCTCTCTCTCTCTCTCTCTCTCTCTCTCTCTCTCTCCCCCCCTCTTTCTCTCTCCCCCTCTTTTTTTCCTTCACTTTTTCCCTCACTCTGTTTTCACTCACTCTGCTCTCCCCCCCCATTCCCCACTTTAAACCTTTTGGGGGCCCTATTTATTTTTTTTCTGGGGGGGGGGGGGGGTTTCTTTGGTAGGAATTTTTTCCCGTCGTTTTCCTTGGTGTCTTTTCGTATCTTTAAAAAATACGGAATTTTTCATAATCAACTTGTTTTATATAAATAAAACCATCCAAATACATTTGCAGCATTGCTTTTTTTCTCCTTCAGTCGACTGTTGCGGTACCAAACGAACCCCCAAAAGGACTTTGCTTTCAGTTTCCTGGCGACTCCTACATTCACTTCACACCCAACAACTTCATCAATGATGGAAGGTTCGTAATTGGTTCCTCCCAACTTCCTAAGTTTTGTTGTTGTTGTTGTTGTTGTTGTTGTTGTTGTTGTTGTTGTTGTTGTTGTTGTTGTTGTTGTTGTTGTTGTTGTTGTTGTTTTCGTTGTTGTTGTTTGGTTTGTTTTCGTTGAGTTATTTTGTTGTTTTGGTTTGTTCTTTGTTGGGGGGGGGGGGCTTTTTTAAAAGCAAGATGGCTACACTGATCTAGTTCTATGATAACCTTTACTCTGAGGAATCTCAATTATGTAAATAATGTGCGGCAACTATAGCGTCACACTCAAACACTGGAAGTATGTTCGGGCTTCATATCAAAACTAACGTGGGAGCGAGAAGGCGGAAAGGAAAACAATAATAAAAGTCGAAAGATGGGATTTTAATAAGGGTGAGAGTGTGAAATACACCTATACATGTATTATATCAATTTATCATATTTCACAAACCCATAATATTTGTTTTCGGGAATGGGGATGGTTATCTTTTGGGTTGGGCTTTTTTGGGGTGGGGGGGGGGGGGGGGGTTGTTGTTCTTTTTTCCTTACTCATTACGTTCCTGGTGAAGCCCAGCGAGCCAAACGTGGAACGTTTTTCATAATCAACTTGTTTTATATAAATAAAAACATTCAAATACATTTGCAGCATTGCTTTTTTTCTCCCTCAGTCGACTGTTGCGGTAGCAAACGAAGCCCCAGAAGGACCTTGCTTTCAGTTTCCTGGCGACTCCTACATTCACTTCACACCCAACAACTTCATCAATGATGGAAGGTTCGTTATTGGTTGCTCACAACTTGCTAAGTTTTGTTGTTGTTGTTGTTGTTGTTGTTGTTGTTGTTGTTGTTGTTGTTGTTGTTGTTGTTGTTGTTGTTGTTGTTGTTGTTGTTTTCGTTGTTGTTGTTTGGTTTGTTTTCGTTGAGTTATTTTGTTGTTTTGGTTTGTTCTTTGTTGGGGGGGGGGGGCTTTTTTAAAAGCAAGATGGCTACACTGATCTAGTTCTATGATAACCTTTACTCTGAGGAATCTCAATTATGTAAATAATGTGCGGCAACTATAGCGTCACACTCAAACAC